GACAACAGACAGCAGCCAAGTATGTATGCACGGCCAGCGCCACCGTCCAGGGCCTCTGCTACCTGAGAATCCTATGACTGGCCTGAAGGTCGCACCTGCACAGGGCCGGTCCCTCACATTGGGGCCTCAGCCACCTATCTGCTCCCTGCGGGGGACACACAGTCTAGACCTCCAGCTTTGCCCCACAGATGGAACTGGAGGGCAACCAGCAGTGTGCCCCTTCCCTAGGTCCTGTCCCATCCAATCTCTTCAAGTGTGATACTTGGTCACTCCACCATCCTAGGCTCAAGATGCTTCTATGTCGCAGCCTTTGACTGTTTTGTCATGCCCTGTCTGCCCAGCTCTATGGAATCCCACCCCCCCCCACCTGCCCTGTGGCTCAGGACACAACTTTGGGGTCACTATCCCTCATAGTCAGCTCCACCAAGTCTTCTGACTCTGCCCTTCAGTATGCCCACTTGCTGTCACTTCCGCTGCCACAGGGTCGGGTCCAGTCCTCTCTGCTCCTGCACTGCTACCATCACCAAGAAGCAGGCAACAGCTGATCTGGTCCAACCACCACAGAGGTCAGCAATACACTGTTGCTAACAGGCTGCATCCTGGACAGGATGCCAGGCCGGCAGGAAATCAGTTCTACCTCTTTCCATGTCCCACAGGAAGTACCAAGAGAACAGGTGGACCCTAGGTCTTCTGTGCTGGGTAAACAATGAGGGTCAGAGGTGACCTCCACAGGATGTTTCCAGCCTCCCTCAGTCTCCTGTCCCACTCAAGTCTACCCTCTTCTTTGGTCCTCTCCCAAGACCCTCTGCTGGCCTCTCAGGTTCAGAGTACCCATCTTTCTGCAGACAGGCCTACTACTATGGGTCAAGTCAGAGCCAGGGAGGCCATGAAAATGGCACAGGGGCGATGGTGGCCACAGACACAGGTATCAGTCCCATTTGGCTCTTGAACCCCTCAGCCCCCATTCCTGCCCTCTTTGGGACTCAGCCAGTCTACTAGTTTCTAAACGTGGGGAAAATAGTAAAGAATTAAAACACGATTTTCACCGTACATGGTAGTGTATGCCTTTAATCCCAGCACTCAGGAGGCAGAGGAAGGTGGATCTCTGAGTTTGAGGCCAGCCTGGTCTACAAAGGGAGTTCCAGGACAGTCAGAGCTACACAGAGAAACTCTGTCTGAAGGGAAAAAAAAATTTTTAAATACTCCCACCTAAATTTCTACTTTTTACTAAGTTGTACTTGGACAAGCAGAGATTCAGTCTACATGTAAACAATTCATGTGTGTGTGTGTGTGTGTGTGTGTGTGTGTGTGTGTGTGTGTGTCTGTGTCTGTGTCTTGTGTCTGTGCATGTGGAGTGTATGCAGACTTACAGGCAAACTCAGGTGTTTTTCAGAAGCTGTCCACCTTGTTTTGAAGCCGGGTCTTCTGCTCTTAACAGCTGAGCCACCCCTCCAGCCCCGAGAACCCGCAGATCTCCAGGCTGGGGAAGCAGACCGGCCTGGGGGCAGGAGAGATGGCCTTGGGGAGGAAGCCTGGTGGCAGCACAAAAGCAGGATGCCTGTTTCTCCATCTTTGTTTGATGAGGAGCATCATCTGGGCCCTCGCCACAGTGCTCAGCTTTTTCCCTGCCTCACTGCCCAGATTCCCTGGCAATCAACCGTGGATTACAGACAAGTTTTACTGACAAAGCAATAGGGTTTGTAAAGCAACAGGACACTGACTGCGGCTGGGCTCTTCAGCATGGGGCACGGCAGGAAACCCACGACCTCCACCTTGTTCTGGCTATCTTCAGAGGAGAGGCAGTCTGGCCATACGCCACTCCCGTGGTGACTAAGGGCCCCATCCATCATGTCATCCGGCCTAGGGACACACAAAGCCAAGTCCTCTTGAGGTTCTCTGACAATACTGAGAAAGGAATGAACACCCTGAGGACCCAGGATCCAGCTCAAGCCAGATCCTCTGCTCCGCACATAGAGCAACCCTTCCTCCAACATGCCCTGTGACCCTAGCAAGCTTTGCTGCGTGCCCAATCCAAGGGGGAATCCCTGGTCCAATCCTGCCTCCACCCATCCTGCACAACGCCCTGAGGCCTTGGGCCTTCCCCTTTGGTTCTGAAACAGGCTGGTTTCAACCTCAGGCTGGCGCTCCCCTCAAGGTGCCCATCGTCAACCCTGTCTGTCCGCAATGGCAGCCTTCCTGTTGGGGCTCACGGGTTGTGGACTATGTTGGTGGGGAGTAGCCCAGTGGATCCTGTGCAGGGTGATCGATGACAGCTGTCAATCATGTCAGTGGATACCTTCCACCCCAGGATACCAGACTCAGTAAAACACCATCTCCAGGCCTCTGCAGAAAGGCCTTCCTGTGTGTTTCATGGCACCTGACCCCTCTTCTGTTCACCCCCTTAAGGTGTCACCAAGCAAACATGGGCCTAATGAAGAAGTGGACGTTTCGAGTCCAGGGAAGATTTATTTATTTTTTTAAAGATTTATTTATTTAGAAGAGGGCATCAGATCTCATTACAGATGGTTGTGAGCCACCATATGGGTGCTGGGAATTGAACTCAGGACCTCTGAAAGAGCAGCCAGTGTTCTTAACCTCTGAGCCATCTCTCCAGCCCCAGGGAAGATAGATTTCCAAGGACCTCCACCACTTACTGCTTACTTTACCACTGAACTGAGGAAAATAATCTGGGGGAGGGCTTGGCTCAGTGGGTAAGAGCATTTCCTGCTCTTACAAAGACCTGGATTTGCTTCCCAGCACCCACGGGGCAGCTCACAGCCATCTGTAACTCCAGTTCCAAGAGATCCATTGCCTTTTCTGGCTTCCACAGGTACTGTATGCACATGGTGTACATACATACACGTAAAATAAAATAAAATTTTTTTTAAACAAAAGAATGGGGCTGGAGAGATAGCTCATCAATTAAGAGCATTGGTTGCTCTTCCAGAGGAACCAAGTTGGATTCCCAGTACCACGAAGCTGCTCCTAACCATCTGTAAACCCCATTTCCAGAAGATCTGGCACCTTTTCTGGCCTCTTCAGGCATCAGGCACACAGTGCAGAGACATACATGCAGGCCAAACACTCATACACACAAAATAAAACAATTTAGTTTTGTTTTGTTTTTGTTTTTGTTTTTTTTGAGAAAGGGTTTCTCTGTGGAGCTGTATCCCTGGCTGTCCTGGAACTCACTCTGTAGCCCAGGCTGGCCTCGAACTCAGAGATTCCACTGCCTCTATCTCCTGAGTGGCGGGATTAAAAGCATGGGCCACCACATGCTTTATGCCCGGCTAAAATAAAATAAATGTTTAAAAAATTTAAAAACCCGCAGACAGTCTCTAAAGCACAGTCAGCTCATTTGTTTCTTGGCTTGCTTTCCTTGTGAGTTTGATGTGCTGGAGACAGACACCAGGGCCTCACACACGCCGGCCAAGGGCTCTACCGCCAGCTACGAACCTCTCCTCTAACAACTCATTTGATTAAAAAATTATCTTTTTTTTTCAGGCCAGGTGGTGGCACACGCCTTTAATCCCAGCACTAGAGAGGCAGGTGGATCTCCAAGTTCAAGGCCAGCCTGGTCTACAGAGCAAGTTCCAGGACAGTGAGGACTACACAGAGAAGCCCAATCTTGAAAAAACAAGCAAACAAACAAACAACAACAACAACAACAAAAAACCTATCATTTTCTAAAGGGCCGGAGATGGGGGTTAGTGGGTAAATGCAGGAATGAGGACCTCAGTTCAGATCCCTAGGTCCCAGATGAGCCAGGCACTACGGCCCATCTACAATCCCAGCACTGGGTGGGTGGAGAAAGGAATATACCGTGGACTCACCGGCCAGCCAGACTAGTCTAAAAGGCAAGCTCCTGATAAGTAAGAGACCCTGTCTCAAGAATAAGGTAGAGTGAAATCAACAGAGGAAGACACTGCAAACTGAACTCTGGCCAACACACACACACACACTCACTCACATACAAGTACATACCACCACTACCACCACCACAATACACGGTCCAGTACACTAGGCATGGTAACCCAAATCTGCAATCCCAGCACCCAAAGGTTGAGGCAAGAGGATTGTGAGTTTGAGTCCAGCCTGGCTGCCATCTTGAGATTTAAAAAGGGACCAGTAAACTAGGAAAGATGTATGTTATTAATATGAGGATAATGTCCCTTTGAAATCACAAAGGCAGTCCCAGATGTTTCCCCACTGGCAATGACTATGGGAGGTTATGGGAGGTTGTGGGAAAGAGGGTGTGAGAGAGCAAAGGGAGAGAGACAAGTATGGCTGTTACCCTAGCATCAGGACCCAGCAAAGCCCTCTGTACCCTCTATTGCTCCTCTTAGCACACAAACAAACTCAACCCATCCCTGCCGAAAATAAGTCAGAGTTCACTGGACTGTGGGCTGCAAATACATTTTCAAAAGCCCCAAGAGTCTGGTGCAGTGACTCATGCCTATATAATCCTGATAATCAGGAGGTCAGAATTTAAGGTCATGCGCAGCTACATAAACGAGTTTGAGGCAGCCTCGGTTATGTGAGATTCTGTCTCAAAAAATGAAAAAAAAAAAAACAAAGACCCAAGACGTGCCAGTGTCTCACTGTGTATCTTTGGCTGGCCAGGAACTCACAGAAATCCACCTGCCTCTGCCTCTAGAGGGCTGGTATTAAAAAAGGCATGCACCACCACACCCAACTAAGTGTGAGTCAACAAACCCCATTCAGAATGCAGCTGTCCAACTTCCCAGATACTATGCTCAGTAAGCTGCCTAGGAACAAACACTAACTATGGTTCTGGTGGACCCACTTGCTGGTTCAGGGAGACTCTGTTAATATTTACCTCACCTGTTCACTTATGTAATGGTAAGGATACATATATCTTTGAAACTGTTAACACTGGATGTTGGAGAGGTAGAAATCCACTCTCTCTGGTACTCCTAGGGAGAATCAATTGCAATACCAGCAAACATCTTAGAAATTATTTTAAAATGTGCTTATTGTTTAATATGGAACACTTCCTGAATTTGAGCATCATACTTTGTGCAGGGGTCATGTTAATATGCTCTGTGTCATTCCAAATTCAGCATATGTGCTGCCTGAGCAAGTGGCCGAAACTTAGTTGGACAGAGGGTTGGGAATGCAGCTCAGTGGCGGAGCATCTGCCCAGCACACACAGACCCCAGCCGGATTCGATCCTCAGCAACAGGGGTTGGTGGGGGAGGAGGGTTTTTAAAAAAACATGTTGATCAAGGTCATCCCCAGCTACATGGAGAGTTTGAGTCCAGCCCGGGCTAGAGTCGCTGTCTCAGGGGGAAAAAAGGGGGGAGGGGGTCACATAAATATTCAAAGTAGAGAATTAAAGGCCTCCTCCCATCCAGTCCCTTCATGAACCCAAACACAGTGTAAATACAACCACTTCCTGCTCATTCCTACAGTTTCCTTATGGAAATAATCAAGTAAGCCCTAACACAATCTTCATTCTCTGCCTTCTAATGTAAAAGGGTGACATCTGATGTACATGCTTCAACCCTGGCCCTTCCATCAGCCCCACACATCCATAGGTAAAAGGCATCCACCTGCTCCCTCAGTGGGCACACAGGAGGGTGGCTCTTCTCTCCTGCTCGTATACATATTGCTTCTGACTGACACTTCCACTCAGCTATTTGCTGTCTCCTCATCAACAAGTCTCAGAAGTCCAGACTTTCGGACTTTTACCAACATGATCATTGCAGTTCGGTGTAAATAAACCCTACATTTTGAAAATGAGAAAATTAAACTATTTGTCTGTCTGTCTGTTGTGTGCATGTGGCAGTGCAGTGGAGGTCAGAGGACAACCTGTAGAAGTCCGTTCTCTCCTTCCACCATGTGGGTCCTGGGGACAAATTCGGGTCATCAGACTTGGGAATAAGTACCTTTACCATGTCAACCATCCAACCTATAGCAGTTTATAATTAAAAAAAAAACTAATCATAACCTCAATGTTCTAGGAGAAGGAAATGGTTTAATCAGATGTGTTCACCGCTATGGTTTGGATGTGGTTTGTCCCCACCAAAACTCACGCTGAGGCTTAACTCCTCAAGGTAAACGGATGGGAGCAGCAAACCCTAAGAGAAATAACCAGCTGTTTAAGAAGGATTACTGTTGCCTCACAGGGGTGCTGTCTCTCAAGGGACAAGATTAGTGCTTGCCAGAGCGGATTGTTCTCAATGAGCCTGGACCTTCCCAGGATCTCTCTTCCACAGTCATTAGCTCTCCCACATGATGCCACTTACTCTAGTGCAGCCCAAAGTCCCTCCCTCCTCACAAGAGGCCAACCGGATGCCGTCATCTGGTTGTAGACTTTCAATCTCCAACACCTCAAGCTAAATAAGCTTCTTTACTAAAATATCCAGTCTCGCCAGGCGTTGGGAGGCAAAAGCAGGCAGATCCCTGAGTTCAAGGCCAGCCTGGTCTACAGAGCGAGTTCCAGGATAGTCAGGGCTACACAGAGAACCCAGTCTTGAAAAATCCAAAAATAAGTTAATAATAAGCCACTCTCAATTACTTCTAAGATCATGTGTAAAATACTCATTTGCATGCATTTTGTTAGCAATGTAAAACAAACCTAGGACATTACCATATTTTATTATTAATAATTAATAAACATAGGAGTATGACAATGTAATTAATGTCACAGAAAGCTATTCATATTCTATCATTAAAAAGTTACAAAGGTCAGTCAGGTGTACATCAGCTAGGTGTAGTAGTCCATGTCTTTAATCCCAGCATTCGGGAGGAAGAGGCAGGCAGATCTCTGTGAGTTCGAGGCCAGCCTGGTCTACACAGTGAGTTCCAGGACAGTCAGGGCTGTTATGCAGAAAAACCCTGTCTCAAACATTTACAAAGGTCAGTGCTGGAGAGATGGCTCAGCAGTTGAGAATACTTGTTGTTCTTGCATTGGACCCAAGTTCAGTTCCCAAAACCCTCGTGGTTACTCACAACCATCTGTAACTCCAATTCCAGGGGGTACCCATACATACAAACACTCATACACATAAAATAATCTGGGGGTGGGGGAGGATCTATTTTTAAAAAAAGAAAAGCCAGGAGGCAGGGGCAGGCAGACCTCTGAGTTTGAGGCTAGCTTGGTCTTCAGAGTTCCAGAACAGCCAGGGATACATGGAGAAATCCTGTCTCAAAACATAATGAATGAATGAATGAATGAATGAATGAATGAATGAATGAGCTGCTACAGTTCACTGGGTACCTTCTTTAGAGAAACCCAGCCTTAGTTGGCTGGGTTACAAAGAAGGCTCAGTGGTTAAGCACATTCACTGATCTTCCAGAGAACCCATGTTCTATTCCCAGAACCCACATGATAGCTCCCAACCATCTGTAACCCCAGTTCAAGAGGAACTGGCACCTTCTTCTAGCCTCCAAGGGCACCAGGCATGCAAGTGATGCACAGACAGACATACACACATTCGGGCAAAACACTTATACATGTAAAACAAACAAACAAACAAACAAACAAACAAAAAACCTAGTTGCTAAAAAATCATTACAAAGGTCTAAAATACTTCATAACACTACAGTATAAAGTCAGTATAAAGCACAATAAAAAACATGGGGCCGGCATGGTTTAAAAAAAAAACACAAAGAAAACATGCCTAAGTTTTACATCAATCAAACACTAGAGGACAATTTGAAGAGGGAATAAAATGGCAGACCCCCAACACATACATCTATGTCCCTGAAATTCGTAAATGTGAACTTACTTGGAGACAGATCTAATTAAGACCCCAAAATGAGGTCGTCCTGGATTATTTAGGTGGTCCCAGGTCTAAGGACCAGTGTCCTTAGGAGACACAGAAGAGGGAAAACACAGAGGCAGAGACTTAGAAGGATACAGTCAGAGCCAAGGGCGGGCAGGGCTTTCCCAAGCGCCTCCAGAGGAAGCGCCCACAGTGCTTGGGTGCTGGGCTTCTGGCCTGCTGTGGTCTAAAATGATCAAGGAAATAAACGCAGATATTATTACAAGGTATGGGGTGATGTGTCACAGATATCTGAAAATGTGGAAATGGAGGCCAGGCATGGTGGTGCACATCTTTAATCCCAGCATTTAGGAAGCAGAGGCAGGCGGATCTCTGAGTTTGAGGCCAGCCTGGTCCACATAGCCAGTTCCAGGTCAGCAAGGGCTACATAGAGAGACCCCGTCTCAACAAAACAACATCAAAATGTGGAAATGGCTTTAAAATTAGGTAACAGACAGAAACTGGAGAATTTTGAGGCATATGAGCGAAAAAGTCTAGGACTGCCTTACCTAGTCGCTGTTAGGAACATGGAGGATGAAAGAGGGTGTCGTGTCACATGGTAGGGCCCCATCCCAGCTACTTTGAAGGCCAAGATAGGACGATTGCTTGAGCCAAGGAGTTTCAAGCTATCCCAGGCAGTACAGTGAGACCAACATTTAAGAGAAGGAGGAGAAGGAGGAATAGCAAGAAGCTTAAAGATGTTACTGGTGGGATCATGTGAGTGAGTTGGAAGGGTGCTTGCCTAGCATGCACGAAACCCAGGGTTTGATCCCCAACATCTCATAAACTAGGCACAGTGGCAGTGGTGACACATGGCTGCAATCCAGCACCAGGGAATTGAAGGCAGGAGTATCAAAAGTACAAAGTCATCTCTGGCTACATGGTGAGCTGAAGTTAAGTCTGGGATACATGAGACCCCTCTTCAAAAAAAAGGAAAGAGAGGTGTGGAGGGTTGAATGAGAATGGCCCATATAGGCTCACATGCTTGGATATTTGCTCCCCAGTTAGTGGAACTGTTTGGGAAGGATTAGGGGGTGTGGCCTTATTGGAGGAGGTGTGTCACTGGGGTGGGCATTGAGGTTTCTAAAGGCCACAACAAGCCTAATCTCTTTCTCTCTTTCTTCAGATCAGGATGTAAGCTCTTAGCTACTGATCCAGTGACATGCCTGCCTGTTGCCATGGTACCTGCCATGATGGTCATGGACTCTAACCCTCTGAAACTGTAAGCCCTAAGTTGCCTTGTTGTGGTGTCTATTCACAGCAATAGAACAGTAACTAAGACAGGAAGGGAGGGAGGGAGGGAGGGAGGGAGGGAGGGAGGGAGGGAGGGAGGGAGGGGGAGGTCTTTAATCCCAGCACATCAAAGGCAGAGGCAGATCAATTTCTAATTTCTATGAGTTCAAGGCCATGGTGATCTATATAGTGAGTTCCAGGCCTGCTAGGAATACATAGTAAGATCCTGTAAAGAAGGAGAAAGAGGCAGGTAGATCTTTGAGTTCAAGGCTAGCCTGTTCTATAGGGCCAGTTCCAGGACAGCCAGGGCTACACAGAGAAACCCTGTCCTGAGAGAGGAGAGACAGAGAGACAGAGAGAGACAGAGAGAGACAGAGACAGAGAGACAGAGATACAGGAAGAAATAAATGAAGAAAACATATTTTCAGATACTAGAAGCGAGGTTATCCTTGTCTTGAAGCGGCCAAAGTCGACTGGACTGTGTTCCACTGTTGGGTGCAGAATTTGTAGGCAACAAACATGGATTTTTAGCTGAAACAGTTTCCAAGCAGTTATAGCTCAGCTGCTTCTTGTGGCTCATCTTAAAAGTCAGGAAGAAAAAGAAATTGAGGAAGGAGCTGTTAAGCAAAAAGGAACCAGCATTGGTGATTTGGGAAATTCACAGGCTACTCAGTTTGCAAAAAGATGCCGACATTGGAAATGTCACTGTCTGGACAGGATGCTCTGGAAAGAAAGCCACATGTGTGACTAGATAGCCTTTTGCCTATGTGTGACTCATGAGTCCATTCAACTACCTCTGCAGAGTCAGGAGGAAAGAGATTATCTAGAAAAGCCCTGTGGCAGGCACTCTTGGTTAGCAGCCTGGCTCTCTGTGACACAGAAGGAAGACACAGATTTATGAAAATGCTGTGCCATAGCAACCCTGCCAGTCTGGACTAAAGGGACAAAGATGGAAGGACACAGAAGTGCTAGACTTCCAAGATGCTAGAAGCAGGAACAGGGTGGTAAACCCAGTCAAAGCAAGGATGCCTCCCCTCAGAGAAAGGCAATAGCCAGGCAGTGGTGGCGCATGCCTTTA